GTTTCTAGATTCAGTACAGGAGATTGATATTTTATTAATGCAGGTTTTTGAGACATTACTCTTCCACAACAGAAACCCAATGACTTCAAATAACAATCTTTTAATGAGGATACCAAGAATCATGTCATAGAAACTTTCACTAGAACAATGCTATCTCGTGGTAAAACATGAGATTCTAAGATTGCTGGAAGGCACCCATGAGGATAACGGTATGGTGGGTGTGGGTGTCTGCAGAAGTCTTTGTTTTACACACCTACACCCTCAGCGCAAACTTTTGAAGGGAGATGCACACTATGCAGCAGTATTCAACGTCAAATTATGTAACCACTGATGTTGGTTTTTGAACTATTCGAAGAAATCAGGACGAAAAAACAAACTTAGTAGCACGAAACATCTTGATATTGTCAAAACGAAAGTGAGATAACCAAAAATTCTAGCCCATACGTGATAGTATAATGACTATGTTATTTTAGCTGCTGCAGAAATTTTTATCAAAGAATATTTCTGTACTTTCGCAATACCTACACTCAGTGTTGGCACATAGACAAGTAAAGAAGAGAATTGCAGAACCTGTAACTTGTGGCACTTTGAATAGAAAATAATTCATATAGAAGAATGACGAGCCGCGATAGATGGCTAAACACAACACAACTTAATGTTATGAGACAGAAGCATCACATTTAGTCCTTCGGGACTACGGTTGTCGATCAAATCGATACTCGCCATTCTTTTTTTTCGAATTTTTCACTGAAATGAAAAGTATAGCGAGAAAAAACTTGTAAAATCAGGTTTGAAAACGCTCGAATATCTTTTATGTCGAACTTCTATACAATAAAGAATTATATCAGAATTTACGCCCGATATAGTAATGTACATTTGCATTTCTATTTTATTTATTAGATTGAGACTTCTTCTCATCGAAATAAAAACTTTCAATGGAATATCAAATCAGTCATTACAGAATTCAACGAAGAACAACATGTGGTAGATGAAATCGATTAATAATTTTCTTTCGATCACAAATAGTATCTCATTTTTTCAATGAGAGCCACTATTTTTAATTAAATTTCAGTGAGCTCTATCAATATCAAATATGATTTTGTGCACTTGACACGCGCAAAATAAAACAAAATAAGAAGACGAATAATTTTAACTTTCTTTTCATGATGAAAAGAAAGTATTTAATATGAAAATGTTTACGAATGAAATTTTTTGCATTCTTTATAACCGTATATATAGGAAAGTCAGAAATAAAAAAAAATGTCGATCATAAAAAAGATCGAAAAAATAACATCGAAAGAAGAAATATCGAACGTAAACAAGTCTGAAGAGAGCGTAAATAGGCAATTTACAATTAGGTTGTGTCGTCAAGATGAAGAAGCTCAATCCAGACACATATTATTACTAAGCGATGCAGGTGCTCGAGGTCGGTCAAAAATGGCATCGATTAACTCAACACAACAACGCATTAATATTGTAAATGAATGCTTTACAAATAATGAAATCGATCTTAATTAATTATTGGATGCTTTGTCATTAAAAATAGCGAAGCAAAACAAATGAACCTTAATAGCTAACATGCATTTTTACTTTAATGTCACTATTTTTTATTTTCTCTATTCTCTACAAAATCACTTCTATACAGGGCCTATCGAGTCCAAGAAATTTTAATCAGATGGGTGCAGGAATTTTCGGATTCGATGAGTTCTACTTTTGCATAATTTAAAAAAGAATTCTTCCTTCTCAAAACATCGTTGAAGTTATTTATATCTAAAAAAAATTAAACTATCTTATACTAACATTCTCGACAGTTTTTTTCGACATAACTATCGTTTGATGTTTTCATCATTCGATAGTTTTTGTTCTGATGTTTCTTTTTTTAACCTTTTCTAATTTATTCTGTATAACACATGTCAATCAAAAAAAAAATAGACAGTGCGTTTTAATTTCACAATTCTCAGGATCACTATACAGATTAATTTTTGTTCTTTTGATGAATTTACTTCGTAAATTATTTGAGGTCGTATTCAACATGAATATCATGATATTTATGAAGGTTTTCGTTAGAAAAAAAGAATTTATAAATTTGTTAAATGTGCGACTCACTTAGAAACAATATCTAATGTTATGATGCCTTTTAAGTAGATTGAAACAAATAAATCTTCGATTTGCGTTTTCTTTTCTTCACACAATGATGAAATTTAGATCGTTCAAGAACACTTTTTCCTATATTCTCGTTTTTCGAGATTTAGATCAATCACCGGCATAACTTATGATTCAAACTTAAGATATTCAGTATGTCTGTGATGATGTGGGTGTAATACTTCTGTTGCATGACACCCACACCCACACCCTTACGAATCTTAATAAGATGTTCTTTTAAAACAAGGAATATTTGTTTCTTTGTCTATATAAGAACTTCACATCTGAGGAAATGGTAATCCTGCTACATAATCTGAGCACAATGTGATTGAATTAAGTGTGAACCTGCATCGTTCTACACCCAAAATCGATGAATGTCACGTGTTCTTTATTTTGACAATCGAAAACAAGAACATATACAATTGTAAAGTATAAGCGAATTTTGGTCTTTCACTGTTACTAGATAGCTCATTGTTGTTCAGTGATTGATTACCATATTTTAGTAACCATTTCAATTCTTCTGGAACTTTTACTTTTCCATACCAAGGATTACCAGGCATTGAGTGTCCTTCTTTTGGAAAACTAATTAATTTAACTGGTATACCAAGATAATGAAGTCCTCGTTCTAATATATAACTTTGAGATGTAGGAACTCGATTATCATTTTCACCAGTGATGATATGTGTAGGTGTATGTATTCTATCTAATTGATAAATAGGTGCTTCGTTTTGATAAATATTTGGTGCTTCCCATGGAAATCCTCCAGCCAAGTAGCTGAGCAGTATAGGTATATCCATCATACCCCATGCTGAAGCATAATCAACAACGCCAGCGCCTGACATGGCAGCATTAAAACGTCTAGTCTGCGTAATTAACCAATTTGTTAAGAAACCACCGTAACTATAACCACCGACTGCAAGTCTGTGTGGATCAACAATGCCATCTTTAATCAATCGATCAACTGCACAAAGAATATCTTTTCCTGGTCGAGATAGTGGTCCATAACGAATTTCATTGAGAAATTGATCACCATAGCCTGTTGATCCTCGATAGTTAGGTTCTTATACCAACCAACCTTCTGAAGCTGCCAATGAAGCCCAATTATACCAAACGAGCTCAAGTCTATTTAGACTAGCCAAATAAGGACCTCCATGAATAAGCACTAACAGAGATAAATTTTTAGATTCAAACATGTTAGGTGGATAATGTAGGATGCCTTCGATCACTCGATGATCATCTTCATTTCTCCAATTGTATAATTTTGTTTGAGGTAAATTTCTTCGAGTAAATAAGTCATTTTCTTTGGTTATTGCTTGTGCTGATTTCAATTGATTAATATTGTTAATGAAATAAACTTCCATAGGTTTTTCAAGTGAGAATAAACAAATGCAATTGATCCATTCCCATTTGATGATACAATCGATTCGTATGTTCCATTCCATCCATGATGATGAATTAAATCTTTCGTTGATGATGGTTGTGTATAAATTTGTACTTCTGTTCCTAATTGCCCGAGTATATAAACATCAGAATCATGCTTTACTGTGTATCCATTGATACTACCATGAAATGTTTCTCCTAAACGTGCTAGTTGTCCATTCAGTAAATTTAATGAATAAAGACTATATTGTGTATTATTAAATTTTTCTTTATTTGAACTAAGACTGAATGTAAGAAACAGGAGATGATGACCATCAATCGATAACTGTAATCCTATTTCGATTTCTTCATTATTTGTCAATTTTGATAATTTTGATGTATTTCGAAGATCAATCGAAAATAGTTCAAACTCATTTAGATTTTCGATAAGTTNTTTAATGAATAAAGACTATATTGTGTATTATTAAATTTTTCTTTATTTGAACTAAGACTGAATGTAAGAAACAGGAGATGATGACCATCAATCGATAACTGTAATCCTATTTCGATTTCTTCATTATTTGTCAATTTTGATAATTTTGATGTATTTCGAAGATCAATCGAAAATAGTTCAAACTCATTTAGATTTTCGATAAGTTTCGACACGGATGAGACGATGAGTTGCTCTTCATAGGAAACATATAATAACTGATTAATAAGAAAGGATACATTACGAACAATATTTCTTTCTACAGGTAATGAAAGATTGTTTAAATTGAGATCAATACGATAGATTGTACTATTACTACACACTACATGTTGTCGATATTGAATAACATCTTTCCATTCATCTTTATATAATTCATTTTCTTTATCTATTGACCACAAATCATTAACAGCTATGTAAACAGATGAATCATTGTTAGACCACGTAAAAGCTAACAGAATATCTTTATCAATTTGAATAGGAAATAGTTCATCTGATATAAGAGAATATAAATAAATATATTGTTCTGATTGTACCGAAGTATGATTTTTTGGTATTAATGCAATGTAGTCACCATTCGGTGACCATTGCGGTTTAATTGATTGACGAAGATTTGTGGTAATTAATTTTTTTGTTTGATTTTTGTATATCATAAAGCCACAAAGTATTCTCATAAGCATTAGTATTCCACGATGGATGTCTTGTTTGAATAAGCAAATGTTGACTAGTTGGAGAAAATTTCAAAAATGGAAACGTAGTATAATTAAAAAATTCATCAAAAGTTAATTTTGGTTTAGCTTCGGCAGAAAAACATGGAAGCATTTGTAAAATCGAGAGTAAATATAATTGCATGAGCATCACCATAATGATCTAAATAAAGCAGCAAGATCGAATAATACCGTTATATAACCTTATTTGACATAAATATCAATGATGTTGCTCACTTCTAATGGAAACAGGATTTGAATATCACCGAAAAAAAAAATATAGAACATCTGTCAGATACATATGATGACTTTATTATTTCCATAAAACTACTCCACATCTTATCTTTTAATTTTCTTTTTACTCCTGTTTTATGTAATATTCTATATTGTAGTGGAACTAGTTTTAATGGGATAGCAAAATCACCAAATAACGAAGTTATTTGATGATTTTTATCTTATTTTAGTCAATCTTTACTGAACACAAAACAACAATAATACGAAATGATCCTAACATAATTGCAAAATATTTATCTAGTTTTCAAAAAATTATTTTTATGTTAAATCCGCTTTATTTTTCTAAGCTGCGAGATTTTGTATTTATATCTCCAATGTTAATCTACGTAGCTGATTTTTCTTCTCGAACAGAAAAACATTCAATCATCTGCTTGTTACATTTTGATACATCAGAACGGTGGATGCACCAATGGTATACTCTATATGGACATCAAACATAAAATATGATTGACTAAATCCAACCATCTAATGAAGCTATTATCAGCATAGCAGATATCTATAAAGCTAGAATATAGTGAAGAAGTATAATAGAGCTAACGGTTGAGTATAAAATATATCACGCAAAAAAAAAAATATATATATATATATTATTCTTCATATTTGTATCTTCTCGAAACTTAGACAAACATTAACAATAACCGCGAATTAAAAGTATACCAACGTGTTATTTATACGAAAAGATCAACACTTCATCGACATTTTTTATACAATGAATTGTTCCGACAAATAAACACGTTCTTTGTGTAAATTAATATTCTTTTTTTTTTCTACCCTTTTCGTTATCTCATTCATTCTATATACTCCTTCCATATATTTAGCTGTCAGATTATTAAAAACAACTATCATTTGATAACATATATATAATTATCAATATAGTGCTATTTTTGTTTTGTTTCTATTTCTTCAATTGATCATTCTCTACACACGTGTATTCTTATGTGCCAGAGGCGTCACGAGTAGTGCGGGCCGATATAGCTTTGCCACAGTTATCAATAAAAAAAGCTACAATAACATATTCGTTTTCCACAGTAGTGACGTTCTCATACTATGCTCACTTGAATGTAACTTATATGCATAAGTAAATAGGTAAATCGAAGGAAGTTAAAAAAAATGTGGAAATAAAATCGAAAAGAATAGAATCAATCTTCGTTCTTATCATATGAGTAAGAAGAATCTGTGCAACATTAGTTGTCTTTTTTTATCAATTCTTGCAATTTTTGTTTGTTTTTTCATTTTGAAATGATTCTTAGAACAGCATACCGATTTTCGATAAATATAGCAACTTTCTCATTGTGACTATCCAATGGGATTAACTTTTTTCTTATTCGAATAGATTTGTAAAATTTTGCACTTTCATTCATTCACAAGAGTTTCGTTAACATTTCAAAATATTGCTGTACTCATCATGATTGAAGTTCTTTAATTGTTGCCAATTTTCCCGAACTTCACATAAAACGCTGTCAAAAACCTGATGTCAATCAATTTAATCAGTTTCGACACTGATTTCCTTCAAGTTACCATCAATACCATAGAATTATCAACAATTGACTCGGATGTAGAGTGTGTTTTGGTAAAGATAGGAATCTACCCACATCTCAAAGCAGCATGATAGAAGCAGACTTGGGAATATTGACTGTATTGTGATTGATCAATCCTTTCGAGTCTATCTGTCACCTCATATTAGCATGTATGCTAGACAAAGTCGACATGATTATTGTTATCTAGATGCTTCAAATAGCAGAGATTTCACCTGGTGTTTTAGAACCACCTCATGTTAGGCAAGAAATTAAAAACGATTAGTAATAATAACTCTAAATTGTATAACGTTACTTCCCTACTTTTCATTTTGTTTAGGAGTTTGATATTTTATCTCCCACACCCTACCAATGTAATAGTAAAAACTAAAGCGGCTGATGAAAGTGTTACTGTAAATTCTTGTAATGTCGAATAAGCAGAATTATATTCAAATTTGATAAATACTTTCCATAATTTATGAGGTCAATGTTTTAATCCTTCTTGATAAAGACATTTTGATAGTTTGAATTATTCTAAATCAAGTTGCATAGCTTAATAAGGATTGGTCATATTTGTATAAATATGTTATATAAAACCATTCTGAACAAAGAAGCTGTTAGTGCAATCTCTGCAGGATTAAAAATTGAAACACGATGTGGATGTTGTTACTAATTCTCTCAAAACTGGTGGGTGTGGGTGTATCTGAGTGGGTAAGATTGATGGTGACACCCATGAACTTCTGAACCCACAGCGGCATTCACACCAGAGGTGTCCACAGGGCACATTTTTTTGCCCTGCCCTGCCCTGGTCCCCTTCCCTAAGTTGCCCTGCCCTGTCCTGGAAAAATAGCATTCCAAAAGTTTTCCCCTGCCCTGTCCTGCCCTGTAGTACAGGGCAGTACAGGACAGGACAGGATGCCCTGCAGAGAAAAAAGAATATTGTAATGTTTATATATAAACTTCAGTGCTATTTTTTATTTGTAAAGTAATCCAAGAAAAAGAAGCATTATGATTAACAAAAAAATAATAATGAACTAGGATTAACAGAGAAAATTATGAAAGAAAAGAAAAAATGTCTTTAATCTTTTTCTAATTGTTTTTCCATGGATCTGATGAACAAAATTTTGTCAACCTCTTCTGGCTTCAAACTTGATCGTCGTTGGTTCAATACATATCCTGCTGTTGAAAACTCACGTTCAACATTTGTTGTCGTGGCGGGTATTGAAAATATGGATCGTGCATATTTCGAAAGAAAAGGAAATTGATTTTGGTAATCCTTCCAGAATTGTAATGGTTCAGTATATTGTTTGTTTTTATCAAACTCCAATAATAAATATCGATCAAGTTCATCACCTTTCTTGATGTTGAAATCATATTCATCACTTTCAGAACCACTTTTATTATTTTTCATGATTTCTTCATCACAATTTCCAGATTCAAATCGACTAAAAATATTTTTATCACCTTTTAATTTTTTTTTTGATGGTTCTAATGGTTGTCGTAATTGTTCTTCTGTTTCTGCTTCTGCTTTTAATAATCGAATTTGACGACGTATGTATTGATGACATTGGTTTTTTATATAATCTGGAAATTTTTTTAAAGACCGATAAAGTGGATGTAGTAATGTGGCTACTATATGACGAATATCCAATACAAACATCTCTTTTAATAATAATAAGAGTCGTTCACGAAACCATGTTATTCCTAAAACGAAAGAAAACATCAATATTTCTAAAGCTGAAGGTTCGTCTATAAATGGTTACCTTGTAATTCATGCTCTAAATCATCATCATCATATAAATTTTCTGAATTTTGATTTTCTCCAAATTGATCACTATGTTCTTTGTTATATTTCTTTAATGATTCATAAGAATTTAATATTTCTTTTAATGTCATATAACACAAAGAAACTAAATGGAGAGAAGGTGAATTACCACGTTGAAGAATCGTCATCATGTGTTTAAATGGTTTTAAGAGAAGAACTAATTGTTTCAAATATTGTTCATCTAAATCATGAATCATATGTTGCTTTTGTTTACCATATAATAATTTTTTTGTAATTTTAAAAGACTTGATTACTGACTCTAGTAAATGAGATAGAGACAACCACCTAACGATGCAAGCTTGATGGAGTGTAGTACCTCCAGCTGCCTTGATTTCTTGATTCAGACTAGTCTAAAAAACAAGATAAAAGGTAAAAAAATAGAAACAAATCAATTAAATAGACTCATATACTTACCAACTTCACATATTTCACCAATTCTTTAGTTTTTTTCAACAACAAAATTATTTTTTTTGCTTCATGTGGAATATCTTTCACTGACATTATTTGTCCTGTTGCTGTATATGTATATACCTTTTTCTTCTTTTGGAACTTAACTAATGTATCTTCATTTAATACGTTTAATTCATAATTTTCTTCTTCTAAATCGGATGACTCCGATTCGCTATCACTTGAAGAATTTTCATATTGAAGAACAGGAACAACATTGGTTGTACTATTTATTGTTGTTGCACTATTTATTGTTATTGCACTATTTATTGTTGTTGCACTATTTATTGATGTTGTATTAGTTGTTGAAAGTTCATCATGTTTATCCTTTTTCTTTTTTTGTTGTTGAAAGAAACAAATTTTCAAGATGTTATTTAAACGATGACCAAAACAGTAAATTGGATTATATATAGCAAAAGCTTTCACAAAATTGCTTCCTCTATCAGATATGATATTCACGTCTGCTAAATCTCCAATGCCATATTCAGATAAATGTCGTCGAAGAGTCTATAAAATAAAAGAAAACTGTATCAGATAAAAACAAAACGAAAAAAGAAAAAGCCTTTTTCGTATGATAGTACATTTAAAACCTACTTCCAAAATCAAATCATACGATTTCATTCCATTAAATGGAATACAAAATAAGTCAATAGATTTAAATCCATATTCATGATTAGTAAATGTAATATTAACACCTAAAAATGATTGTTGAGTATATTTATTTGTCCAAAAGTCAGGTGAAATTGTGACTGATTTTGATTTTAATGGTTCAATTAATTGATCTTTCAAATCAAGACGATATTTAAGTGCTAATTCATTAACTGTACGGGAAACAGTCTGACGACTTCTCAATACATCCTTGACATCAACTACACCATATTGTGAACCTGGAAAAGTAAAGTATAAAGGATATTTATGAAAATCTGAAATACTATTCTCACCTATTTTTATGAACATTTGAGCTAATTGTTCAAAACCTTTATCTTCGACAACGCTGTAAGGTCTTAGATCACCACAAACCCAATTTGCATACAGATGTTTAAGTTCATTTTGTTCTTTTTCTGGAAGTTTTGCTTTTCTTGTAAAACCAATTTGATCTAACTTGAGTTGAGTTGATTGTGGATCATCAACTTTATCACCAGAAGAACATGATGAAGCCAGTGGAAAGCATTGATCTGCATGTGAAATAAAACGTTTAGTTCCACTGGCGGGTCCATAAATTAATGTATGACAACACTTTAAGCAACTAATATAACCAGGAATTCGTTCGAGTTCATCTTTTTCATTTAGAACAGCTGGATAACCAAATGATCGCCACCAGGACACCAAAGGTTTTGTTGATTCATTATTTAAAATACGAAATTTTTTTTTTTCTTTTTGTAAAAGTCGTTGTAATTGATTAGATGTGTATGAAGAAGTGGTAACAGCAGTAGAAATACTTGAAGAAGACAAAATAGAAATTTCATTTTCATCAATAGATGAGAAAGAAGAAATATCCAGATGCGAATTAGCAGATGCTGATGATGATTGCATTTTTTTATTTTTTATTTCACGTTCTAAACTAACAAGATGACCAACAATCACAAATATATGTTCATTGTTATGATTCCATTATTCTTTTCTTTTCTTTTCCTTGAAATAATTTGATTGGACATTACGTTCAACATAGAAATATAATAGTCTTATGTAACAGTTGATGACACCATCTATGTTGTTTATCTCTTTCTTCATATTTTCAAAAAAAATCAAAACGCTCTTGTTTCTAAACAAAAGTTAATATGAGTGAACTTTTCAGGGCATAAAGATATCGCCCTGTCCTGCCCTGTTGTTCTGCCGTCGGTGCCCTGCCCTGACGCAGGACAGGACATTTGATAAAATCGCCGCCCTGCCCTGTGCAGGGCAGGGCAGGATACAGGACAGGACAGGTTTGCCCTGCCCTGTGGACACCTCTGTTTGGAAACTGCAACCATACAAAATGCAAGTTTTAGAAAATATCACAAACTATCGTAACTACCGCAATACTATTCAAAACCAACCATAACCAAAATAAAAAAATTTCCTGGTAATTTCGGA